TGCACTGTTACTGCACTTGTGTATCAAATCGTTCATTGCTCCGGATAAAACAACCGGCTAAATCGGCGCGTGCTTCACCCAGAGAAACGCCTTTGCCAACGACACCATCCCGTCGGAGAGCTACATCGGCGCCATCCAGGCAGCACACCTGGGCACACTCAGCAACCAGTCTCTGCCCCTGGCGTCCTCTCTCAAACACGTGCTGCTGTCTCTGGTGCGCCTCTCTGGGGACCTCATTGTGTAAGTGTGAAACGTGAAATCGTGAAACATGACTCGTAGATGTAACTGGGAAGAGCCTGTGCAGACAGCTTGCTGACGGCCGCAGTGTCGGTAAATAGTCTGCTAATATGAGAGACCTAATGTGTAATGTGTGTTAAAAGACTTTCAGATACGTCAATTTTTAATTTTCTTGCCTCTCGCACGTCGCACACGCAGGCATTTCGCCTTAGAGGCTGCTTCGTTCAGCCAAAACCCACGGTCCTAGATTTTTAAGTGTGAACGTACAGTGTGTGACGGGCAGCTCTGGTACGTCTCCCCCAGGTGGTGTCCGGAGGACTTGAGCCCCCCGCAGGTGATGGGCTCCCTGCTTCCCCTGCTGCTGGAGGCCAGCACGGAGAGCGTGGCAGAGATCGCCAGCACCTCGCTGGAGCGCATCCTGGGTCCCGCCGAGTCCGACGAATTCCTGGCGCGCGTCTACGAGCGCCTGGTCACCGGCTGCTACAACATCATCGCCAACCACTCTGACCTGAACAGGTGAGTCGCTCAGCTTGTGCCCGCCCCGACCTGTATGTGGGCCCCTCCCTGTGTGCCTCTGGTCTCAGAAATGCTCTCCTGCAGCGGCCTGGATGAATCCGTCCTGGAGGAGTGCCTGCAGTACCTGGAGAAGCAGCTGGAGAGCAGCCAGGTGCGCAAGGCCATGGAGGAGTTCTTCTCCTACAGGTAACGCAGCCTTCATGACCTCCTCCGGAGGCACGTCTCCGGACCTTTCGGGCCTGTGTTTATCCTCTGCCTTTGGTTCCTCCTTTAGTGGTGAGCTTGTGCAGATCATGATGGCGACAGCCAACGAGAACCTCTCGGCCAAGTTCTGCAACCACGTGCTGAAGTTTTTCACCAAACTCTTCCAACTAGGTAAGAATGGGGCAGCTTGGGAAGATGGGGGCGCCGAGCTCGTCACACATGACTGTGTATCTTTCTGAGGGGACCTACTGAAGGATTTGGTATATTTATCAGGGTTGGCATTGCTCTCTTTGGACTTAGGATGGTTGACGGGGCTTACACCAACAGATCTCAGAAATGAACATTCTCCAGTTCTCGTTTTTTTCCATTTGTAATCGTGTCTTTCAGTCTTGTGAATTCTTCCTCGACATAGAACATGCACATATGTACATGTGCTCACTGTCCCTGCTGAGACCTCCTGACCCCGTTTCCCTCCAGCGGAGAAAACCCCCAACCCCAGCCTGCTGTGTCTGTGCGGCTCGTTGGCCCAGTTGGCGTGTGTGGAGCCCTCACGCCTGCAGGCCTGGCTCACGCGCATGACGGCGTCGCCGGCGCGGGACTCGGACCAGCCGGAGGCCGTGCAGGAGAACCGGCAGCTGCTGCAGCTGCTCACGGCCTACATCGTACGGGACGGCAGCCAGGTGGGCGAGGGCGTGTGCACCGTGCTCCTCAGCACACTCATCCCCATGGCGACGGAGATGCTGGCCACGGGCGACGGTGCCGGCTTCCCTGAGCTCATGGTCATCATGTCCACGCTGGCGGGTGCCGGGCAGGGGGCGGGACACCTGCAGCTCCACCGGGCAGCCATTGATTGGCTTACCAGATGGTGAGTGACTTGATAATGTTCTACAGGTTGAGCTACATGCTAATCTTGGTTCTCAGCTTCTTGATGCTTGAATTCTTAGGAAATGTTTCGTTTTGGGTCAACTTGTTATAGCCATTCCTTCCTCTGTTGCAGCAAAAAGTACTTGACTCAGAAGAATGTGGTTGAGAAGGTCAGCGCAAATGTATCACAGGGCAAAGTGAGTAGTCTCTCGCTCACCAATATGGCAGACCCTTTCCCATGTGCCTGCTCTTCCTCAAGGCATGCTGGGTAGTGTAGTCTGCTCTGTGTTCTAATACATGTCCATGTGTTATATTGTAGCATGCCAGCATGCTGGAGTGCTCTTGCCACATCATCTCCTACCTGGCGGACGTGATGAACGCCTTGCGGCAGAGTGGGGCGGGAGGAGGCCAGGGATCCACACAGATGCTGGTGGAAGGCGAGGAGAAGGCCATTGAGGTGGATTCCGACTGGGTGGAGGAGCTGGCCGTGGAAGAAGACGACTCTCAGGCTGAAGATTCGGTGAGCCCCTGTTTGATCCACGTTCTTTATGAAAATTCTTCAGAAGGCCTTGACCATCACAGATGGGAGATTTGGTCCTTGAAACACTCATGTTCTTCCATGCTTCCTTCCAGGATGAAGACTCGCTATGCAACAAACTATGCACCTTCACCATCACCCAGAAAGAGTTCATGAACCAGCACTGGTGAGAGACGACTCCTTTGGCTCGCCGAATGTCACCACCAGTAGTTACAGGAGGGCTGGTTTTCACGTAGCCTTTCCCCCCCCCCCCCCCCTACAGGTACCACTGTCACACCTGTAAGATGGTGGATGGGGTAGGCGTGTGTACTGTGTGCGCCAAAGTGTGCCACAAAGACCACGAGATCTCCTACGCCAAGTACGGCTCCTTCTTCTGCGACTGCGGGGCCAAGGAGGATGGCAGCTGCCAGGTGCGCCCGAAATGGACCGCAGCGGTGACTTCCACTTCTATTTTTGCATAGATCACAAAACCATTTTCTTTGCAGTTTTAAAATTTTAACCCCTCTGTACTAAAATTCTTGAGATTGAAGCGACCAGAGAATTTGGGGTTTATGGTCATGATGAGTAATGGAACTGATCTGGTCACTGATGTTTTGATGTAACTGCATGCTGATATTTAACCGGTGTTGGTCAAAACCGGTTTTAATTAAATTGCAAATGGTGAATGTTTCCTTGATTCATGCTGTGGTGTGTGTTGTAGTTTCTGTACCTTGATTTTGCCTTTTCTGTGTCCCCGTGTGTCCTCGTCTCTCTCCGCTTGTGTCCCCGTGTGTCCCCGTCTCTCTCCACTCGTGTCCTCTTGTGTCCCCGTCTCTCTCCGCTCGTGTCCTCTTGTGTCCCCGTCTCTCTCCGCTCGTGTCCTCTTGTGTCCCNCTTGTGTCCCCGTCTCTCTCCGCTCGTGTCCTCTTGTGTCCCTGTCTCTCTCCGCTCGTGTCCTCTTGTGTCCCCGTCTCTCTCCGCTCGTGTCCCTGTCTCTCCACACATACCCCACAGGCCCTGGTCAAGCGCAGTCCCAGCAGCGGCATGAGCTCCACCCTGAAGGAGTCGTCGGCCTTCCAGAGTGAGCCGCGAGTGCCGGAGAGCGCCATCCGCCACCAGAATTCCTCACCTGCCGACAAGGGCAAGGTGACCATCTGCGATGGCAAGGCCGGTGACGAGGACAAGCCCAGGAAGAGCAGTGCCTGCCGCAGCGTGGAGGGCTGCCGGGACGAGCTGCTCTCTCAAGTGGTGAGTGGATGGTGGCAGAGGGTTGGCCTTGGCAGCTTCGAGGTCCCGGGAGCAGCTGTCTGTAAGATGCAAAGTGTGGTACCAGAAGGACTGTGCTGCCCTAGAATCCGTGGTATGTGGGCATTGCTGGGTGTAACAGTGTCCTGGACATTGTCTGTGCGCAGCTGGGCTCCTCCACGCCGGCCATCGTGCTGGACATGCTCGTCTTCCTCATGGACGCCATCCAGACCAACTTCCAGCAGGCGTCCGCGGTGGGCAGCAGCAGCCGCGCCCAGCAAGCCCTCCACGAGCTGCACACCCAGGACAAGACCGTGGAGATGACAGATCAGCTCATGGTGGGTGAGATGTCAGGTGTGATTGAGTAGGGCCGGTATGGCTGGGTACGTCATGCTGAATTTAAGGTAAATGGGTTTGTCATGCGGGCATCGAGGATGAGCTCGTAGGATGGTGGGAGTTCAGGGGGGGTCTTTTGTTTAGTGTCAGAAGTAGGAGAGCCTGGTGGCCTCCTCTCCTCCTTCAAAGGAACGTGCAAAATCCCTTTTGGTTATAGCAGTGATTCCCAGTCCAGTTCCTCAGACAGTCCACATTTTTACTGGGAGTTGGGAGGGAGCCAAAACATGGACCGGACTTGGGTCCCCATAGAGCGGATTGGGAAAAACTGCCTTATGGGGTTTGGTTATGCACAGGGAATGGGTCTCCATAGCACCATGTGTGTCCACCTGCGTGAGCGAGCCTCAGTGTTCGCTCAGCCCATTCTCACGCGCTTTAATGTCCCACAGGTGCCCACCCTGGGCTCCCAAGAGGGGGCGTTTGAGAACGTGCGCATGAACTACAGCGGCGACCAGGGCCAGACCATCCGGCAGCTGATCAGCGCCCACGTGCTGCGGCGTGTGGCCATGTGCGTGCTCTCCTCCCCGCACGGGCGCCGCCAGCACCTGGCCGTCAGCCACGAGAAGGGCAAGGTGGGCTCCAGCTTACCCGTCTTCCGCAAACTGCCTTCGGGTGTTCATTTTCCCCAGAATTCCATCAACATGCACCATGCCATAATGGTCTATGCCAGTGTTTCCCTACGCGGTCCTCGGGGACCCACAGACGGTCCACATTTTGACTCCCTCCCAGCTGCTGGGAGCAAAAACTTGGGCTGTCTGCGAGTCCCCGAGGACCGGATTGGGAAACATTGGTCTATGCTGCTTTACAATAGGCAAGAACTTTCTGGTTTTCTCGCTGTCAGTATGGATCTTCTCTTAGTATATCAATAACGGACTGGGCTGGGTCACTTTGTAATGCATGACTACACTCAAATTGTTCTGACTTTGTGCTTTCTAGTGAAATATACGCATAAAACAGTGTGATTCAGGGCTATGTAGATGGTTATGGTGTAGATGTACTGATGACGCTTCCTCCTTTAATGGTTGACTCCTCTGCGCCTTATAGATCACTGTGCTCCAGCTGTCCACCCTGCTGAAGCAGGCGGACTCTAGCAAGCGGAAGCTGACCCTGACGCGCCTGGCTTCGGCCCCCGTGCCCTTCACCGTTCTCAGCCTCACGGGGAACCCCTGCAATGAAGACTACCTGGCCGTGTGCGGCTTGAAGGTGCTCCATCGTCACGCGTTTTTCCGACGCCTCACCTCCCGACCGCTGACTCTCCATGTTAATTCTGTTGACTGTTCTGTGCCCTCGCAGGATTGCCACGTCCTCACTTTCAGCAGCACGGGCTCCGTTTCAGACCACTTGGTTCTTCACCCTCAGCTGGCCACGGGGAACTTCATCATCAAGGCTATCTGGCTGCCCGGCTCTCAGACCGAGCTGGCCATCATCACCGCCGACTTTGTCAAGGTGCTCCAGTCGGTCGACCACCTGTCTTTAAGATCACCACGCCGTTTTAAGCTGAAATTTACATTTTCAAATTTACAGTTGCTTAATTAATGCTCAGTTTGAACCAATGGTTTGAATCAACTGTCTGCAAGGACTTCTGAAAAACTGAATGCACTTTGCTTCAGTGACGTTGCTCATGTTTTTCTGAATTTTCGCTGCATGCTGTTCGACACGCCTTGATTTTTCCCTCAGATTTACAACCTTTCTGTGGATGCCTTGAGCCCTATTTACTACTTCCTGCTGCCGAGCTCCAAAATCCGCGACGCCACCTTCCTGTTTAATGAAGAAGGAAAGAACATAATCGTCATCATGTCCTCCGCTGGGTACATCTACACGCAGGTGATGGACGACTCCAGCAGCGCCCAGCACGGCCCCTTCTACGTTACCAACGTGCTGGAGATCATCCACGAGGACCTGAAGGTGATACACACAGACCTTTGTTTTTTACATTCAAACACTAGTCCCAAATGACCCAACCTTAATGTAATGAATCCTAACTCTGTCAGTGCAGTCTTCACACCTCTTAGCATGCTGAAATGTGCTGCCCTCTGGTGGCGTCAACAAGGAGAGCAGATACAGTAACTGACTTTGAACGCGTGGTAAAAAAAACATGCAATCGCCTGACATGAGGTCATCCCTGTGCACCCCAGGACAGTAACGGGCAGGTGGCCGGCGGTGGCGTGTCTGTCTACTACTCTCACGTGCTGCAGATGCTCTTCTTCAGCTACAGCCAGGGCAAGTCGTTCGCCGCGACGGTCAGCCGCAGCACCATGGAAATGCAGCGGCTCTTCACCATCAACGTCAAGGGGTACGCGTGCTTCACTGTCGCCGCACCCGCGCGGACTGGAGTCCTGACGTCTCTGAAGGCATTTGCTGGGGCTGCCTGAGCTCCTGTCCCTTTCACCCGAATGATTGAAACTTACCTCCCTTTTGAGGTCCTAAGTGCCTCTTTTTTTATAACCAACCATGACACAAAATTTAACATTGTGACACCCCCCAATGTTCGGACATTTGGCCCTAAAAGTCTCCTCAAATGGAAGCTGGAAGAGCATCTTTTCTAAGCATAACTTGATCAAACTCCAACTTCTCTCTTTCTCTGGAGCTGTGTGCAGATTTGATGGTTAGGTATGTGTATTCATGTCCAGTACATCATTGGTCTGAACCTCATGATCATCAGAGAATCACATTGCTGTTGGTCCCTTGACCAAGGCCATTAACTCCAGCTACTCCACGGATGCTGGCCCTCGTTTTCCATCGGTTTGGGCCATAAGTATCTGCTGAATTGAAGAAATGTATGAATCTGTATGGAAATCTGCTCTTTACTTTTTAGCTTTGATTTGATATGCCAGTCACTTTCCTTGCGGAAGTTTTCTGAGAGTAGAAAGTGGGAGATTTATCCACTCCATGTTTAGTGCTGTAGAGTTTCCCAGTTTGTCTGCTTTTAAGCACTGTGTCTAAATTTAAGCACGGTGTAATTGCTGTATTTGTGACTACAATCTCCCAGTCTCCTGCTGTAGTGTCAGAGCTTATTGAGTACATTCTTTGGATGAATTGCTTCTGCTCATATTTACCCGTGGGTTTTTGGACTTCTATGGTGCAGTTAAAGGCTCTTAAGAACATAAGAAATTTACAAATGAGAGGAGGCCATTCGGCCCATCAAGCTTGTTTGGGCAGAACTCAACTAATAGCTCAGAGTTGTTAAAATCTTATCCAGCTCTGATTTAAAGGAAGCCAGGATTTTAGCCTGCGCTACACTAACAGGGAGACTATTCCATACTCTAACTACACACTGTGTAAAGAAGTGCTTTATCAAATCCAGTTTAAAATGTTCTTCCACTAATCTACCTATGGCCACGAGTTCTTATATTTGAACTAATATTGAAGTAACTATGTGGTTGAACAGCATCCAGACCCGTTAGAATCTGTTCACACTCCTCCTGTTCATTCCCCTCTTCCTGTCCAGCTCCAATGGGGGGAGCAAGACATCTCCAGCTCTCTGCCAGTGGTCGGAGGTGATGAACCACCCAGGGCTGGTGTGCTGCGTGCAGCAGACCACAGGCATCCCGCTGGTCATCATGGTGAAGCCCAACACCTTCCTCATCCAGGAGATCAAGACGCTTCCAGCCAAAGCCAAGGTCAGTCAGGGTGGGGTTTTTAGGGAGGGTGTCCTGGCTTCTACATGCGTCGGGCATGGAACGATGCACATTGACCATGTCTGCCTGTGTGGGTTTGTGTTTGAGCCAGCTGTACCTCCTGTCTGGGCATCTTCATTAGCGGTGCTGGCTGGTAGCATTGTGGCTAAAGGCTAAAGATGTAGGAATATACTGGAATGCAGGTTTAAGTCCCAGGAGGGTCCATGCTGTAGTACTGTTAATGCATCCTCATTAATTACCCTAATTTCCCAAGTGAACTATGCAGCCTGTGTAAACCGGCTGACTCAGAGGTCAGCTGGGCTATTAAATGACCCCCCCCCCCCCGCCCCATCCCTGGCAGATCCAGGACATGGTGGCCATCCGCCACACGGCCAGCAACGAGCAGCAGCGCACCACAATGATCCTGCTTTGCGAGGACGGCAGCCTGCGCATCTACATGGCCAGCGTGGAGAGCACCTCCTTCTGGCTGCAGCCCGCCCTGCAGCCCAGCAGCGTCATTAGCATCGTGAAGCCGGTGCGCAAGCGCAAGGCCACGGCCGCCGGTGCGTGAGCCGCCGCCGTCCCGCGCCGCCACGCCATGCAGTGTCATGTGACGCGTTCTCATTGAACTTGCACAGCGGCGTATTGCCTGTTCCGTGAATATAAGGAGATTACTGTCCGATTATTATTTTCATAACTGACAACCATCTTATGGAATTAATAAAATCTATAAATATTTTTTTCTCAAAATAAACATATTTGCAAAAAATCTGATTGATGATTACCTCAGTGGCTCAGTTAGCTAGTTCTGTTTAGGCTCGTTTAAGCTTTCCCCGCAGAGGCCTGTCATCCTCTCCCATGTGCCCCTTTCCTTATGTCCCCTGCTGTCTGAGGCTTATCCCGACCTTGGTTAGCGGTCATGGGAAATTGACGGGTGGCTGCCGCTGACCTGTATTCTGCTCAATTGCAGCCACACGCACATGCAGCCAGGTGACCTTCCCTGTGGATTTCTTTGAGCACAACCAGCAGCTGACAGAGGTGGAGTTCGGGGGCAACGATCTGCTGCAGGTGTATAACGGGCAGCAGATCAAACACCGGCTCAACTCCACCGGCATGTATGTGGCCAGCACCAAGGTAAGGCCTCTGCACGGCCAGGGTAGTTTCTTGCAAGGCTTTAGGGGTCCTTAGCTGACAGAATTGGGGTAAAAAAACTTTCAGTTTGACTTCCAGGGAAGCTAGTAGATTTTCAGCATCTAATTTTATACTTAACGAATTTTGGTAACAATTTACATTAATTTAACCTTCATAATGCCTTTATAATGCATTCGTAGAACATTCACTGCACCTTCATAATGCATTCATAGAACATTCGTAAGCACCATGTAAGTACACCTTAACAGCTTTAATATACATTAATAACAAACATTATATGATAACAAACATTATAATTGTATAATCATATGTTTATTGTATTTTAAGGTTAGTAAAGGTTTGTTTGGATGTTAAGGTATACTTACATGATACTTTTGAATGTTCTGTGAATGTGTTATGAAGGTGCAGTTAATGAAAATCATTACACTAATTTTTTTCTGCCAAGCTGGTTGAGTTAAAAATTGAAAGTCTGTCTCTCAGTCTCATTCCCTCTAGTTTTAGTTAGCCCTGTACTAAATGAAGAAGGAAAAAGTTTGACACGGGGCTTTATGCGGTGTGGTATGTGAGCACGTGGGCAATTTTAACAGCAGCAAATTGTCTCCTCAGCCCGGTGGCTTTACGGTGGAGGTCGTCAACAACAACAGCTCCATGGTGATGACGGGCATGCGCGTGCAGGTGGGCACCCAGGCCATCGAGCGTGCTCCGTCCTACCTGGAGATCTTCGGGCGCACCATGCAGATGAGCCTGACTCGAGCCCGCTGGTTCGACTTCCCCTTCACCCGCGAGGAGGCCCTGCAGGCTGACAAGAAGCTCTCCATCTTCAGTAAGGTCTTCCCACTGTCCAGGCCTCTAAGAGTGTAACTGGAAACCCCTCATTTTTCCCATGGCCGATTGGGAGGGTGCTGTATCTCGAGCATTTCTGCTTAATGGTGTTTGGTTAATTGTTGCTTTAATTTGTTTGATTTTGTCCCCTTTTTTAAATATCCAAGTTTTAATATTCATGAATTTGAGTTGGGTTGGGTTTAGTTGAGTTTGGTTGAGTTGAATAAGGCACTATAGGCTTAGAAAAGTGAGTCGAACCTGAAAAATCAAAACATAAATCAACTTGAGATAATTGCTATAAATGTAGTTTGTGTAGTGCAGTGGTCCCACACATACAGGGTTGTGGTCAGGTTCTGTATTTGTATGGGTTTCCTACCCACAATCCAGAGACTGGTTGGTGTCTGATCCCTTATCCCTGCCTTCCCCATTGAGGCTCATCTCTGTCCTACAGGGATTCTCAGTGAAAAGGGTCCATGTTTTCCACAATGATCATACGCCTCCTTTTTTCGCCCTTAGTCGGAGCTTCAGTGGACCCAGCAGGTGTTACCATGCTGGACTCTATTAAGATCTACGGGAAGACCAAGGAGCAGTTTGGCTGGCCCGACGAGCCCCCGGAAGACTTCCCCTCGGCCTCAGTCAACAACACATGCAGCCCCAACATGAACCAGAGCAACGGGAGCAGCGAGAGCGACATCGTGGCCCCCAGTGCTACCAGCGGCACTGTGCTTGAGAGGTAGCGTGCTTCCTGCAGCCCCTGCACTGCACCAACAGCCGCTGAACTGCACTGATAAACTGTTTCTATACCTTATCAGTATATATGTGGCACTGCTTTGGGATGCTTTTATCTGTTTTTATCCGTTTTATTTAAAAATGCATTCCCAAACTAAAGTCACAAAAACAATACAAATGGATGTAAAGCGTCTCATTAAGATAGATTTTTATCTAAAGTAATAGTGCTTAAAAATTGAATTGCAAAGTGGAAACAGCAGCTTGAGTACTTGAGGGCTGCAATCCTGCTAGTTTGTCACCCAGCAAACAGCTGACATGCCCGATGATGTCACTTCCTGCCGCACTGGTGACCTGAGTAATACAGCTTTGAGGTACTAGAGGTGACTCCCCTTGTATGCTATAGAATTTTTATTTTTAAAACTTTCTTTAGACTAGTATCTCCCAGTCTTTGTTGTAGTAGGCAAGTGTCGCAGGTCTCCCTGAGTACGTACTGGCCTTTCTTAGTGGAGGTTCGGAAACCCCGCTGGCCCATCAAACCCGGGCTGGCCGGCCCCAGCTTCAGAGGCGCCGGTGGCTCCTTCCTGGTTGTGCGAGCGCCTGTGTGTGTCACGTCCTGTGCACGGCTGCCCTTGTGATCTCTAGCGCACGCTCACATTTTTCTTCTGTCACATTGTCATTTTTTACTTGTTTCTTTCTGTGAACCTCACACGTTTTTTTTTTTCTTTTTCTTTGCTCCCAAAAACATAAAAAAAGTTGTGAAACTGAGTCCTTATCGACCTTGGACCGGTTAGTAAGCACCCTTCCTCTGCTTGATTGCATGGTGTCTGCGTTTGTGCGTTTGTGGCACAAGGCAAGAATAGGTTACCCGGCTTCCTTTCCAAGCATCTGACCGGGAAGTGTGTCCTGATCTTCTCCAGATGGTAGTTGGCGTGTCGCTCCTTGGGCTTGTTCCCCCCCCTCACGCTTTGTGCTGCCCCCCCCCGCCCCTCCCCCTCTGTAGTTTTCTGCTGCTCAGATGCCTTCAGGTTGCCCACTCCCTTCTCCATATCTAACTGGTGTTCCGTTCCAGGCTGGTGGTCAGTTCCCTGGAAGCTCTGGAGAGCTGCTTCGCCGTCTGCTCGACGGGCGAGAAGGTGGGTGTCACAGAGAGGGCCCGCGCGGCCGGCTGGCGCGTTCGGAGGCCCGGCTTAGACTCTGACCCCTCCGTGCCGGGGTGTGTGGCCCCCCCACAGGAGAAAAACAAAGCGGCCGCCCTCGACCTGGCCACCCAGTTGCTCTCCATGCCCACTCCCGCCGGCGTCCAGCAGCAGACCAAGGGTCTCCTGGCCAGCCTGCACACCAGCCGCACTGCCTACCACAACCACAAGGTCGGCGCTCCGCTGAAATGCCCATGTCATGTAGAATCAAGCCTTTAGTTTGTATGATGATTTTTAAATTATTTTACAACACTGTGGTTTACTTCACTGTTAAGCTTGTGTTCAGTGGATATTCAAGTAAAGTCTCAACATATCTGTAATTGTATGTAGTTTTGTGCTGTAATTACTATCCATTGGTGTTCTAATGCACCCCTACTTAAAAATGACATGTCTGACCGTGTTAACGTTCCTGTGTTACTACCATACAAACTGCAAGCTAAGCCCCCCCCCCCCCCCCC